GGATCCAGTCCGCTGCAGGGATGGCGACATAGTCGTCATTCACCCAAGTGTACGAAGGGACAGCTTCGGACGCTTCCCTTAGTTCGTATCCGTCGATGGTCGCATGGAGCTTGGGCGCCCAGTCTCCAGATGATACCTTGCTCTGGCTGCACCATCGCAGCTTCCCCTGAGCCCATAGGCCCATTGCCACTGCCCGTGCAGCAGGGGCCGAGGAGCAACCCATTTTGGTAAGGCGTCGTCGTAACAGTTCCGGAATCTTAGCTTCCAGGGCCAGTATACCTAACCCACCCTCGCTAACCGGCGCATGGAAGTATGCCACCGGCGTGTCATGGGGCAGTCTCAGCCATCTCCTGACCTCTCTGCGCACCATGCCATCAAGGCGTCTCAGTTCTCCATAGGTAGTTCTTCCAAGAACCAGCGAGTGGGTATACCTCGGTAGCAGGAACGTCTTCAATACTCTCAGTCTCTGCTGCGGTTTTAAAGGAGCTCTAGTTATCCTCTGCAATAGGGGTTCAATTTTCACCTCCGTTGGCCCTATTCCTTTGTGTGAGAAGGCTACTCCCAGGTACCTCCAGGAGTCCAGGACGCCCAGCTGTGGCATGCTTTGGTGGTCCGCCTCGAATTTCTGGTAAGTATTAACCTTCATACACTTCTTCCTCCCATCAGGTATCAGGCTAAGGCAGGCGCACTTAGCAGGCATCAGCCTTAGTCCATTTTCCTTAAGTGCTTCCGTAACCATACTGATGGAGCTCTGTAGCCCATCCGCAGTTGACGCTATCGAAACCAAGTCATCGGCGAACGCCAACGCGTTAATGCAGCAACCATTGAGAGTATAGCCGATACAATCACTCACCGCTTCGAGACCCTCGTCCATAACAGCGTTGAATATCAGAGGGGACAGGGGATCGCCCTGTCTAACACCTTGATCCGGGTGGAGCCAGCCACCCATAACCCTACCGACTTGGATCCTGGTTCTGGAATCCTGATAGACATTGTTAATATAGCGCCTCATTGCAATCGGTAGTCCTTTCTTTCGCAGGACTGCATTGATTGCTCCATGCGTTACTGTATCAAACGCCTTCCGTACATCGAGGACAGCGAGGTGCAGTGGCTTCAGTTCCCTTCTAGCATCATCGATGACCGACGCTAGCGTGAAGATGTTTTCTGCAGCCCCATCCGACACTATGAAGGCTCTCTGCCTCCTATCGAGTATTTCGCACCTGTTCATTCTCGCTCCCAAGATCTTATGGAAGTGCCTCGTTACCACCGATGATATAGACAGCGGCCTAAACTTGGCCGGGTCCATGGTGCCCTCCTTCTCAGGAATCTATACCGTTCTGGAGTCCAGCATGCTCCTCGGTGCCCTCTCGTTGCGCATAATGGTGTTGAACACAGCCACTTTTTCCAGGATAGATATTTTGTTCCAGTCTGCCATGGTTACCCCGTCGGGCCCAGCGGCTGTACCATTAGGTGGTTTGGCGCACCTAATCTCCTCGGCCGTGACTGGATTCCACAACATTTCCACGCCGTTCCCCACGCGGCCTGGTAGTACCACAGGCTCTCCTAGGCATGTCTCATGTCCTGTGAGGATCGGTTTCCAAAAGTCTTCCTGCTCTTGTAGGGTTGGGTGTTCCACCTTGTCTGCATCTCCATCCAGGACAATCTTGGCAGCCTTTCTCATATGCTTTCTCCACAGGCGTTGAACTCTTCGGTATTCGCACCTCCTTTCCTGTTTCTTAGACCTTCCATTCCTTGCTGGTGTGCTGTCACTGGGTCTGGCATTCCGGTGCCTTCTGAGGCATTCGCGTGCTTGGTTTCCAGGCTCTGGTCTTGGTAGCGTTCTGCCACCCTCCCTCGGTATTCTAGCCAGCCACTCTGCTAAGTGGTTGGTCGACAGCTCTACCTGGCCATCTACCGCAGCCGTTATTGCTGCCCGGAGCACCTGAACCGGTTCACTATCCTCGGTGAGAGCTTCCATGCTCACAAGCAGTTGCGACCTCACCAGTTCCTCCGCCGCCTCAGTTTCTACGTTGCCTTCACTAGTTGATTCTTCACAGGCCTGTGGGTAGGAGGCTGCATCCCTTTTTTCAGCGACAAGAGCTTTGTACGTTGCCTTCTGTACCTTTAATGGCTTCAAGAGATCTCATGGTTTGTAGGCGCTGTTGCAGCACTTGGTTGATGTTCACCAGGCCTGCATCCAGATCCGCCTCGACCGCAGCCATTCTCTCAATTTCTTCCCTTGTCCACCTATCTTTAGTTCTACCCGTATCAATCATGTCATTGGCCTGAACTGGGTGCTGACTCTTCCTATGCACCCCTAGGCCAATCTTAGATGTAAACCCCCGCAGGCAGATCTCGCATTGAAAGCGTGCCCGCTCACGATCCATGTCTTGGCGCTGTACTGCACTAATCCGCCCATCGTCTGCAGCAGCAGCGGCCGCCGCAGTGTCATTGACGCAATGCGTTTGTAGGTTAGACATTGGCGATGGGCTGTCGAATTCGGACAATTGACTGTTTAATTTGATATCGTGGATGTTTTCACGGCCGAGTTAGACACCCGTAGGTCCGGCAGGTAGTCACCCCTTGTCAAAAGACGCGTCCGTATGCGTTACTCGTACGCAATGCTCCGCGTAAGCCTTCTTAGCTCTTCCTTAAGGAC